AGACAGCCCCTGGGTCCGCACGGTCCTACATCAAAGCTAGGCGGTCTCGAAGTGCATCCCGCAACAAGTCCCCGTCCACGTTCGTGCTACGTTGCCGCCCGCCCTCGCCGTTCCTCACAATGCCCAAGTCTAATTTACGTCGAACGCCGTTCGCGTCCACCTCCCATAGAAGGTTCTCGTTGAAGTCGATGCCTGCGTCCAGGAGGATGTTGTGAAGAGTGCAAACGACCACGAATTGATGCGGCAAGGTCTCCAGGTTCGTCTTGTGGGTGCGCAAGAATAAACGTCACATGCACTTCAGTCGCTTGAACGCCCTCTCCACACACCCCCGTGCCACCTTCTGCCGCGTGTCGAAACGCTCTTCATCAGGATGTTGCTCGATTCCTCCGTACGGCTGGACGATCCATGGACATGTAACTGGATAACTGTTGTTGCCCAGCAGGTAACCTGGTGTGACGACACCGTGCCGCAGATTCTCAGGAGGTGCGTCGAACAGCTCGCCACTTTCTGCACTCGTCCACAAATGGAAATTGTGCAGGACACGTCAAGGATACGTAGATCCAAATCCACCACCACCTGCGTTTGGACGGAGAACTTCTGTTTCCGGTCGTGGAAGTTGTCTGAATGTGCGCCGGTGGGCTTGTCAATGTAGATGTGTGTACAGTCGATTGCGCCGAAGCAGTTCAAGAAACCTTTCTCATGAAAAGCGTGCAAAATCTGCGCACGTCTCCGTCCCACTGACCACTTGATGGCGTCGGGGTACGCCTTAAGCAGCGCCGAAGTAACTTTGTGGACGGCCTGCAGTCCAGTTGCCCTGCCGATGCCGAAGGCTGACGTTCCGCTCTCGTACGTCTCTCCAGACGCCCACCTGTACAACGCGAAAGCGATCACCTGCTCCATAGGCAATGTCATCCTGTAGTGTGTAACCTTCTTCTCCGCGTATGCGGCACACGCGCCTATGATCTGGGTGAACATGGCCCTCGACATGCGCAACTTCTGGCGGTAGTAGTCCTCAATGGCGTCATCACACAGTCGGAGGTCCTCCCATGTTCCGCTAGTCCGTCGTTTAATCCACCATCGCGGGGTCTGCCGCGGGAAAACGCCACACGACAGCGCGGAACACAACTGCACGACTGCTTCACACGTCGCCACGCAATCCGGTGCTTCAACAACGCTCTGCAACAGTGCTCTTCATGTACGGAGCTGCAAGCGCATGTCACGGGAGGAGGACGACATGTCGCTCATCGTGTTGAGGACGACGGCAGTCACCGCCATCGCGACTGCTTCGCTCTCTTCTTCACGTAGACCGTGCCCGCAGCCGCAAATGTCCATCCCCAGCAATTGTTCCGCCTCTACAACGTCACGCCTGCCACTGCCGCCGAAGATGCGCCCCCTGCTCAACCCTGCCACAGGAGACCACGCACGCCAGAGCCAAAGATGCGCCCGCTGCTCTACCCTGCTATAAGAGACTTCGCACACCGGCGCTCAAATTACGCCGACGCTGAACATGCGCCCGCTGGTCACCAATCGCGAGGACTCGAAAGATGGATACCCACGACGAAGGGTTCACGAGCACAGCCTTTTCTACGTCGTACGCGTCGCCTGGCCGTCCTCCGCCCCGCCACCCTGCGTTCACGAAAATTCAAAACTTCTGGGTCCGCGCGCTTTTCACCGACCCGTCCTGCAGTGTGTACCACGGACACCAGCCAGCAATGGACGGACATCGGCGACGCGGCTGCGTATACGCATATGAAAACCGGCCATGGGAGACCTTTTAGGACGAATCCTAAAAGATAATTTTTAGGTTTGCGTGTAACGACACCGTAGGAAATCCTAAAAATCAAAATTTTGAGTGTCTAACGAGACCCTTAGGGCATGCTCACACGGGGAACAAAAGTCCCAAAAATTTGAAGCATTTGGTTCGTTTTTTTTTAGGCATTTGGGGCCCGTGTGGTCACACGGGCGGACTTCGTCCAGAAAAGACAAAGTGGTGACCCTGACAATTTGCACTCAGGGTCACACGGGCGAGGACCAAACAAAAAGATGGAATTTGTGGGTTTTTTTTTTTTTCACGCAGACGTAATGGAGCGGTACCCCTACGGCCCGGCAGTGAGGCCAGACCTGTTTCAGGCCGTCGGCCTGACCGTGGTCCGGTACTTGGTTGTCCCGTTCCCGGACCTAGGCCGGTATATCACTTCGGCCTAGGCCCAGGGCGGGAGGTTCATTCATGCTGTTCATTCGTTCATTGATGCGGCCGGACTGGACCTTCACTCAGCTGCTGCTTCCTGTGTGTGTCCATCTCCTCTCTCTCTCTCTCTCTCTCTCTCTC